TCGAGTGGCGGCGTCAATAAAATGGGCAACGTCAGTTTAGTGCGCGGAGGCAGAGCGGGAGGGAGGGATTCCTGCGGCGCACAATGATGATGTCACAAAAGGCCCAGCTGGGTACCCTTTGGCACCACAGTGAGAGGTCACCTATTGCTCAGGGGCATGATCCCGCCCTCCCTTTAGCATGTGCCCAAGTGTTGCCCGGTGCCAGGACATGGGCCAAATAGAGAGCTGACCCCGCCCAGCACATGCTCAAGGGAGCCCCAGGGCCTGGAACATGATTTTGGGATTTGCACGTGTGCCCTAGTGCGCATGAGTTTTGTCACATTGGTCAAATATTGGAATAAATTGCCAAGGGAGGTGGTGGAATCTCCCTCGCTGGAGATATTTAAGAACAGGTTAGATAGACATCTGTCAGGGATGGTGTAGACGGAACTTGGTCCTGCCTTGAGGGCGAGGGGGCTGGACTCGATGACCTCTCGAGGTCCATTCCAGTCCTATTATTCTATGATTCTATGACTCATGGTAACTGGTGCTTTGTCTTAAAAGCCCCCAACTTCTGGAGTCATGTGAGGCACAGAGCAACTAACCCTCCTGGTTGAAGACAAAAAGCTTGATATTGTGACTGCTACGCAACCCTAAAACTTTAAAAAGTTAAAGAGACTGGTGAAGCACTGGAATGGGTCACCTAGGGAAGTAGTGGAGTCTCCATCCCTAGAGGTGTTTAAGTCTCGGCTTGACAAAGCCCTGGCCAGGTTGATTTAGTTGGGATTGGTCCTGTCTAGAGCAGGGGGCTGGACTTGACCTTCTGAGGTCTCTTCCATCTCTATGGTTCTATGATTCTATGGGAAAAAAGACTAAAAGGAAATAAAAAGAAACCAAATGGATTATTTTAAAATGTTGTATTTAAGCTCATTTCATGATTTTGGGATCATGCCTTATGATTTTTGAAAGCTTGGGTGTGGCAGTATTATGTGCAATCTAGCTAAGCTGACAAGTTTTAAGTGTAGACCAGACCTGAGGGAGTCTACAGTGTTACAACTGCACCACTATATCATTTCTAGTGTAGACACCCTAAGTGAGTATTGGAGACTTTACACAACACCCTTAGACAAAGCCCTGGCCGAGTTGATTTAGTTGGAATTGGTCCTGCCTAGAGCAGGGGGCTGGACTTGATGACCTTCTGCGGTCTCTTCCAGTTCTATGGTTCTATGATTCTATGAACACCAGGGCTAAGATGAGTGCTAAGATGAGCTCATCTTTACACTAAGATGAGGGCTTTGACAGCTGTCCAGGAGAGATTCAGATGCTGCCCAGCTGATTAGCAGAGCACCCACAGCTGGAAGCATGTGTTTCTATTGGTGGTGCACATGCACACATGCTTTCATTCACATAACAAAATGTATTCCATGTGTGAATGGAAAAGATTAGCGGGAACACTGCACATCACTCCTGAATTTGGCCCAGTGCCTTCAGGATGGGATTGATGTATGACTGGTGACGAGAAGCACCGCAGAGGAATGTCGCAATTTTTCAGCCTGTAATTTTCCTGTTCGGTCTCCACCGCTATTAATCAGATACCTTTCCCCAACAATGTTTAAGTGCAACACTGATTTTGCTTTGCAGTTTAAGATAGAATGCATTCCTATGGGGATTTTCTGGGGACTGCGCCTCATCCCATTTGAATGTTTGGATTATGTGACCTGTGGCAGGTTTTTCTAAGTTTCAATAAAATGTAACACACACCAAAAAAAACCTTCCAAAACAGAACCAACATTTTCCAAAATGTAAAACATTTTATTTAAAAAAATAATTTACTGCATTTTATATACAGATCACAGACTAACATCCACTCACAAATACTTATGTCTGAACTCTGTGCAAAGGCTGTTTTCTTTATATAGATCAGCACCTACAATGGGAGCAGGAGCAACCATCAAGTAGTCTGGGAAGCAGATGCCCAGCTGAAGAATGGACTGTATAGCCACTGACATAGCTCCTCCTTTATGGCATGTACCACCTCGGAAATATCACTCACCATTACACAAATGGACTTAAGCTCATCAGTCCTACCTGTTCTTAATAGCACTAAAATGCAGCCTTATTTAGCCACTTTAACGAAGGGTAGTAGATTCTGCCACCCTAACAGCAGTGGTACAAACATAAAGAACACTAATCAGAATACTCCCATTTTCTTCTCCAGGCCTACTTAGTTTGAGTCAGGGAGGCAAAACGTGGGTTTCTGTGAACTCTTTTAGCTTTAATATTGTGCAGCCCTTGCCTGTCAGTGTTTGAAACAGGGATAGATGTGTAATGGCTACTTCCTTAAGACTCCAGGACACTTAATAACCTGGTCATGCAACACAGACATGCAGGTACTATGTAAAAGCCCGATTCCACAGCACTAGGTAGCATTGTATGAGTGATTCTGTTTAGGGTTGCCAGGTGTCCGGGTTTTTTTTGCTCAACCAAATGTTTCCTACCATGTTCGGTATTTTTTTTTAAACTATCTGGCATCCTTAATTCCATTCAAGTCAAGTACTGGTCAGTGTGACTAAAGATTGCAGAACTAGGCCCCGATGTATGAATAGTCTGTGAGGGTGAAATCAATGGCAGAACTACCATAGACTTCAGTGGGGTTGGGATTTGACCCTGAATCACAAAATATGGAGCTCTAATCCAACACTTTGGCTACGTCTACACTGGCATGAATTTCCGAAAATGCTTTTAACGGAAAAGTTTTCCGTTAAAAGTTTTTGCGGAAAAGTGTCTAGATTGGCAGGACGCTTTTCCGGAAAAGCACTTTTTCCGGAAAAGCGTCCGTGGCCAATCTAGATGCGCTTTTCCACAAAAAAGCCCCGATCGTCATTTTCGCGATCGGGGCTTTTTTGCGGAAAACACTACTGTGCTGTCTACACTGGCCCTTTTCCGGAACTGTTTTCCGGAAAAAGACTTTTGCTCGAACAGGAGCAGCATAGTTTTTCCGGAAAAGCACTGATGATTTTACATTAGATCGTCAGTGCTTTTCCGGAAATTCAAGCGGCTGATTTTCCGGAATAACTTGCCAGTGTAGACACAGCCATCATTTATTGCAGGCCTGTTTTCAGAGGTGCTGAGCAACATCTAAAAGGCTGACTGAGTGCTGAGCCCATCTAAAAATCAGATTGTGAGTGTGTGTGTGTATGTAACAGAGTCTTTCTCTGGAAATTTTATCATGTAAAACTGGGAAACTCCATTCTGTACAAAGCCCTGGCTTCAATCTCCTCCTTTCTCAAAGAAGTGCTTCTCTGATCTGCATATTTCCTAGGGAAAATGTCAGCCCAGAGGTTTATTTTGCAAGGACTGTTTCAAGGACATTGGCCATGCTTTTTTTTCTACTTTACTGTGCAGTGAAATAGTAAAATCACACACACTTCAGAAATGATTTGGCTTTATGAGTTCAGTTTGTACAGGGGCTGAATAAATAAGAGCTATGTTCTAGAATGTGGCTTAGCTGCACTTTTCAACTGCTGAAGCTGTTGCCTGAGCCCAAGTGAAATACACACACAAAACCAGGTGTGTTTGAAAGTCCACAGTATCTTTCCCACCAAATCCCCACATCATATTAATGTTATTGTCCCTTGAAACTCAACTCAGTGCTCAGGAGGCGCATGTGAGGGTGGCCCTGAATGTGATCTCTCAAGAGGCTGTGTGTGACGAAAGAGTCAGTCGCCGGCTGGTTATTTCATACAGCATTTCTGTGATCACCTCAATAATGTCTGCATTGCCAATGATGGGTCGAAAGAAGAGGTCTGTGATAAGTGCAGGAGGAATGGATCTCAAGGTGGAGGCAATCAGCAAGATGCGGGCAAAGCGGCCCTGGTCTTCTGGGTGCAGGGGCACTAGGACTTCTCGGAGCGCTCGCTGTGCTTCCCGTTGGAGGCTCTCGATGTACAGAGAGGCTCTGAGACCTGGGACATCTATGGAAAGAGAAACAACAGGAAATACAAATGAAAATTAGCCTCTGCTTCCCAAGCTATGCCCCAGGCCCAGGCTCTTATCCTGCATGTGCCTCTGCTGAAGGCTTGTTCACCGCTATTGCTAGTGATTCACAATCAAATTTGATTTCTTTCTACTGCCTGCACACCGGCACAGGCAGATAAATAAACATGTTTCCTTACATTTCATAGTATATGAGGATCCCAAAGTACTAGCTATAGATATGCAGCATCTCTGAAACTTAGCCACGTCTGAGGTGATGAGCAGCAGTTCATTATTAGTGTGTAACACATCAAGGGAGGAAAAATATTGACCAATACAGCTCGGGCAAAATGCAGCTCTAGCAAAACATGCTCTGAGATCCTCTTTTTGCTGAAGGGTATGCAAGACCGCAATTTTAAAATTTGATTAAAATAGTCCCTTCCATCACAATAAACTATATAGGACTTAGTTTATTTGCTTCAAAAAGAGGAAGAACTGAATCAACCCTGGTTAGGGTTTGAGAGACTGCGAAACTAATAAGCCACCCCTATCAGCACAGTTGACTCCAAGGTTTGTGAGTTAAAGCAAGTGACCAACTGGGGCAAGTCACTAACAGCCTGAATTCCAAAAGTCAATGGGAACTGGAGATGCTCAGCACAGCTGAAAATTAGCCCTGAAAATGCTCTGTGCCTCAGTTGGCCTGTCTTTAAAATAGGGATACTACATCCAGCTTAGTAATAGAGATGTAGCCGTGTTAGTCTGGTCTAGCTGAAACAAAAGACAGGACCATGCAGCACTTTAAAGACTAACAAGATGGTTTATTAGGTGATGAGCTTTCATGGGCCAGACCCACTTTCTCAGATCAAATTGTGGAAGAAAATTGGCATGACCATATATACCAAAGGGATACAATCAAAAAAAGCGAACACATATAAAAAGGACAAATCACATTTCAGAACAGAAGGGGGATGAGGGCGGGAGGTTAATGTCTGTGAGCTAATGATATTAGAGGGGATAATTGGGGAAGCTATCTTCGTAATGGGTAAGATAATTAGCATCTTTGTTGAGGCCCAGTCGTAAAGTGTCAAATTTAAGCAACGACTGTTGCTATGCTTCAAAGGCAGAGGCACCCTATCGACTAATTGAACAGTTGATGCAAAAATGCATTGACTGTTCAATTAGTCAATTACCCGATATTTAATATCCTTAGCTTGTAAGAGCTTTGAGCTCCCTGGATGGATGGACAGCTATTCATTGCTAGATACTCTTGTGTGACGTGCCATCTGTCCCTGCCAACAGAAAGGGGTGTGAGGGTTCGGCACTCACCAGGGTTAAAGAGAATGGCTCCTTTCAGATAGGCATACTCCTTAGGGCTCAGGTCCAGGCCCCAGAATGTGTTCAGGCAGCACTGTAGCCTCTTCACGCCAGCTAAGGTGGGCTGTGCCCTCTCAGGCTCCTGTCTCTTCCTTTGGCCATCGAGAAGGATCCTCTTGAGCATGCTCGGGGCTGGGGTTTCCATCACCTCAAAGGTCACCATCTCCTGAACCAGCCCCAGAATAAAGAGTGGAGCCCAGCAGCTGTCCAGAAGCAGCAGCTGGTCCCCCCGAGGCAGCAGCTGGAAGGAGGGAAGGTTCTTCATGAAGCTGACTGTTTTCACAAGGACATCTGAGGCTGCCTGGCAGGTGAGCTGAGGTGTCCGGAGGCTGACGGTGCGACGCTTCTGGCACAGGCAGCGCTGCTGGGATGGGCTGTGGCTGCCCCAGTTGTGGTTCAGGTTCTGGCTCAAGAGGGCGTAGAGGATGGCATTTTGGTTCTCCTCACTGTGGCACTGGCATTTCTCATAGTCCAGATCCATGCTGCATGTAGTCATTGCTGAGCCTGGCCAGTGGATCCCGTCAGGTCCCAAGGAGGATGAGACTCTTGTGCACCTGGCTGGGTGGATCTGTGAGCACGCCTGGTCCCTTGCAAAGGCTGCTGTATCAGTCAAAGCTCTCTGACTGCAGCCTGCTGCTCCCAGGTCGGTCACCTCTCTTATACCTTTGGCTGTTATTCCTGGCTCTATTTATAAGACTCTAAGTGAAACACCCCCTTAGCAGCCTTGACCTCTCTTTAACTAAGCACCGTTCATTGAAAAACAACTCAACTCAGTACTGATTGGCTGGGGAAGTGGAGCTTCCACTGGTGCAGATAAAGGTTTTCTCAATGAAAGTGCCAGTTAGGGCCAGGAGGATGGGATGGGATGGCAGATTGAGTGGCTTTCTTATCTGGATTACCCAACAGTATAAACAAAGTCATTAACCCAGCCCGTACCATGGCACCAAGGCCCCAGGTGTGTAATCATGCAATGCTATATGACAGGTGTCATTGCCAAAGAGTTCACACACACACACAGACCTTGTCTGGAGCAAGAGACCAGTAGCAAAACAGCCTGTAAACTCTGGCCTTGGAAAGAGCAACCTGGAAGTCATTTTATCAGCAGGTTGTTTGTTTAACCTTGTTGACAACAGGCTGCTGTTGTTGCAGATAAAGAAAAAAAAAACCTAATGAACTACAAAGGGCAGCAGATGGAGGCTGGGGCCTCAAGTATCTTGTGTGTTTTAGGGAGGGGGGAAACACGGACGTATGGGGCCTTTTTACTTTTTGCCTTGTTTCCTAGGAGATTTCATCAGTTTTATAGACAGGTTAGATGCATCATACTGTTCATACATGGATGTTTATGTCTTCATGCTTCAAGGAGTGTCGTGACTCAGAGGAACTTCTAGGGCAGGAAGAAGTCACTTAGTTGAAACCCCTACCCCTCCAGGATCATGGAGCCTGATTCTAAAGAACAGGCAGGAAGGAAGAGCCAGGCTGTCTGGAAGGCAAGTTAATGAGTGGGAGGAAAGCAGGTGGCAAGAGGGCTGTGTCTAGACTGGCCAGTTTTTCCGGAAAATCAGCCGCTTTTCTGGAAAAACTTGCCAGCCGTCTACACTGGCCGCTTGAATTTCCGCAACAGCACTGACTTCCTACTGTAAGAAATCAGTGCTTCTTGCGGAAATACTATGCTGCTCCCGTTCAGGCAAAAGTCCTTTTGCGCAAAAGTATTGCGCAAAAGGGCCAGTATAGACAGCTCAGATTTGTTTTCCACAAAAAAGCCCCGATCATGAAAATGGCGATCGGGGCTTTTTTGCGGAAAAATGCGTCTAGATTGGCACGGACGCTTTTCTGCAAAAAGTGCTTTTGCGGAAAAGCATCCATGCCAATCTAGATGCTCTTTTCTGAAAATGCTTTTAACGGAAAACTTTTCCGTTAAAAACATTTCCGGAAAATCATGCCAGTCTAGACGTAGCCTACATGTTTAGAAAGAAGCAGAAAACATCAACGAACCCAGTGTAGCGCCAAGTGGAACTTTCAGTCACTAGAAGTTCCCAGTGGAGATCACCCAACTATGGAAAGTCTTAGGAAAATACTAGCTTCCAGATCCCTTCTCCCAATAGTTAACAGTGTAATTTTAGTAATGTGAATAGGTTCATCTAAATAGGTTACTGGTCTCTCTGCATGATATTGACCAGGGAGGGTTACTAACAGCAGCAGCATGGAAAGGGTTAAGAATCATTGCCTTAAATGACTATGGTGAGCGCATTTGACCCTTGAGGTGGGTGCCTCCGCTGGGGCCCGTGTGCTGCCGCTGGTGTTTTCCACAGTGATTCTGGAGGACAGGATGTTCCCTCCTGCCCGCCGCAGGCAGGGTCTGCCCCAGCCATCTGGGTGCCCATAAGCGGCAGAGAGCCAGCTTCCCCGGTGTGGTTGGGATGCCCGGGGTTGCACGCGGGCGGCGCCGAGGGCGACTGAGAAGCCCTGGTGCCACGCCTGGACACCCTGCCCAAGAGGCCTGGCAGGACGCCTGATGCCCCTCCCCCCACAGCCTTCCCTTGGCAGAGGCCCCCCCCAAGAATATGGGCTCCCATGAGGGTCCCCCCCTTTTAATCACTGAGGCACGTGGTTCCTGCCCTTTGACCCC